TCGACACCACGCCAACAATCTCCACTACAGCATTCCAGTCGACAGAATCAACCACACTGCAAACACCAGTCTCAACTCCAGTGTCAACATCACAGCACACCAGAGTCCACATCACAGCCATCACCCAGTCTACACTAATGCAAACAGGTACGTATCGATTTCATTGCAACAACACACACCACACACACAACATCACACAACATCTCATAACCATCCAAAATCACACTCACTATCACACACGCAATCACATGCACACACAAACAAACCATACGCTTACCACATTTTCTACCAATATCACTCCACCATTTCACAACACAAATTTCTACCATCTACAAAAACACATACACCATCCATCTCTCTCTCACTTCCAAACGCCTCAACTATATACACACTCAACGCAATCACGCTTTCACTCACTCAAAATTTCAACCAATCTCTCTTTTCTATCGCTGTCTGTCACTCTTCTGTCTGTCTCTCTGTCTGTTGACTGTCACACAAACACATTCACTCTCACACTCTCACTCTCACTTACACACACACACACACACTGTCTGTCAGTCACCAGGTCGGTCAGTCAACCAACAAGTCAATAATTCCATCAACCAGTCTGTCAATCACTCGCAACACCACTAATCACAACATTGTCTACAAATTTCATCCACCATCTCACACACACACACATTACTTCACTGCGAACAACCACTCCACACACCCCATTATCCACACTTCTCCTCACTCATCACTCATCAATCATCACTCCTCACTCATCACACTACTCTCAATTCATCTCATGCATTCTGTGTCATCACCATCATCATCATCATGCACATGCCTATGCTCATGCCGCACATTCACTCTATACACATTCATTTCACACTACTCCTTCTCAACAGGTGTCCATTCCGATTCCACATCCATTCCACCAGTCACCGACATCACTCATCCAACTCAGTCTGACCAAACCACATCCACGTCACACTTGATCGACACCACGCCAACAATCTCCACTACAGCATTCCAGTCGACAGAATCAACCACACTGCAAACACCAGTCTCAACTCCAGTGTCAACATCACAGCACACACCAGAGTCCACATCACAGCCATCACCACAGTCTACACTAATGCAAACAGGTACGTATCCGATTTTCATTGCAACAACACACACCACACCACACCACACCACACCACACAACATAACACAACACAACACAACACATCTCATAAACATCCCAAAACTCACTCACTCACTATCACACACGCAATCACATGCACACACAAAGAAACCAATACGCTTACCAACATTCTACCAATATCACTCCACCATTTCACAACACAAATTCTACCATCTACAAAACACATACACCATCCATCTCACTCTCACTTCCAAACGCCTCAACTATATACACACTCACGCAATCACACTTACATTCTCTCACACACTCACTCACTCACGAATTTAATCTATCACTCTCCATCCGTCAATGTCTGTCTCTCTGTCTGTTGACTGTCACACAAACACATTCACTCTCACACTCTCACTCTCACTTACACACACACACACACACTGTCTGTCAGTCACCAGGTCGGTCAGTCAACCAACAAGTCAATAATTCCATCAACCAGTCTGTCAATCACTCGCAACACCACTAATCACAACATTGTCTACAAATTTCATCCACTATCTCACACACACACACACATTACTTCACTGCGAACAACCACTCCACACACCCCATTATGCACACTTCTCCTCACTCATCACTCATCACTCGTCAGTCATCACTCCTCACTCCTCACACTACTCTCAATTCATCTCATGCATTCTCTGTCATCACCATCATCATCATCATCATCATCATCATGCACATGCACATGCACATGCACATGCACATGCAACACAATCACTCTATACACATTCATTTCACACTACTCCTTCTCAACAGGTGTCCATTCCGATTCCACATCCATCCCACCAGTCACCGACATCACTCATCCAACTCAGTCTGACCAAACCACATCCACGTCACACTTGATCGACACCACGCCAACAATCTCCACTACAGCATTCCAGTCGACAGAATCAACCACACTGCAAACACCAGTCTCAACTCCAGTGTCAACATCACAGCACACACCAGAGTCCACATCACAGCCATCACCACAGTCTACACTAATGCAAACAGGTACGTATCCGATTTTCATTGCAACAACACACACCACACCACACCACACCACACCACACAACATAACACAACACAACACAACACATCTCATAAACATCCCAAAACTCACTCACTCACTATCACACACGCAATCACATGCACACACAAAGAAACCAATACGCTTACCAACATTCTACCAATATCACTCCACCATTTCACAACACAAATTCTACCATCTACAAAACACATACACCATCCATCTCACTCTCACTTCCAAACGCCTCAACCATATACACACTCACGCAATCACACTTACATTCTCTCACACACACACTCACTCACAAATTCAATCTATCACTCTCCAACCGTCAATGTCTGTCTCTCTGTCTGTTGACTGTCACACAAACACATTCACTCTCACACTCTCACTCTCACTTACACACACACACACACACACTGTCTGTCAGTCACCAGGTCGGTCAGTCAACCAACAAGTCAATAATTCCATCAACCAGTCTGTCAATCACTCGCAACACCACTAATCACAACATTGTCTACAAATTTCATCCAATATCTCACACACACACACACACACACACGCAATACTTCACTGCGAACAACCACTCCACACACCCCATTGTGCACACTTCTCCTCACTCATCACTCATCACTCGTCAGTCATCACTCCTCACTCCTCACACTACTCTCAATTAATCTCATGCATTCTCTGTCATCACCATCATCATCATCATCATCATCATCATGCACATGCACATGCACATGCACATGCACATGCAACACAATCACTCTATACACATTCATTTCACACTACTCCTTCTCAACAGGTGTCCATTCCGATTCCACATCCATTCCACCAGTCACCGACATCACTCATCCAACTCAGTCTGACCAAACCACATCCACGTCACACTTGATCGACACCACGCCAACAATCTCCACTACAGCATTCCAGTCGACAGAATCAACCACACTGCAAACACCAGTCTCAACTCCAGTGTCAACATCACAGCACACATCAGAGTCCACATCACAGCCATCACCACAGTCTACACTAGTGCAAACAGGTACGTATCCGATTTTCATTGCAACAACACACACCACACCACACCACACCACACCACACAACATAACACAACACAACACAACACATCTCATAAACATCCCAAAACTCACTCACTCACTATCACACACGCAATCGCATGCACACGCAAAGAAACCAATACGCTTACCAACATTCTACCAATATCACTCCACCATTTCACAACACAAATTCTACCATCTACAAAACACATACACCATCCATCTCACTCTCACTTCCAAACGCCTCAACCATATACACACTCACGCAATCACACTTACATTCTCTCACACACACACTCACTCACAAATTCAATCTATCACTCTCCAACCGTCAATGTCTGTCTCTCTGTCTGTTGACTGTCACACAAACACATTCACTCTCACACTCTCACTCTCACTTACACACACACACACACACTGTCTGTCAGTCACCAGGTCGGTCAGTCAACCAACAAGTCAATAATTCCATCAACCAGTCTGTCAATCACTCGCAACACCACTAATCACAACATTGTCTACAAATTTCATCCAATATCTCACACACACACACACACACCGCAATACTTCACTGCGAACAACCACTCCACACACCCCATTGTGCACACTTCTCCTCACTCATCACTCATCACTCGTCAGTCATCACTCCTCACTCCTCACACTACTCTCAATTAATCTCATGCATTCTCTGTCATCACCATCATCATCATCATCATCATCATCATCATGCACATGCACATGCACATGCACATGCACATGCAACACAATCACTCTATACACATTCATTTCACACTACTCCTTCTCAACAGGTGTCCATTCCGATTCCACATCCATTCCACCAGTCACCGACATCACTCATCCAACTCAGTCTGACCAAACCACATCCACGTCACACTTGATCGACACCACGCCAACAATCTCCACTACAGCATTCCAGTCGACAGAATCAACCACACTGCAAACACCAGTCTCAACTCCAGTGTCAACATCACAGCACACACCAGAGTCCACATCACAGCCATCACCACAGTCTACACTAATGCAAACAGGTACGTATCCGATTTTCATTGCAACAACACACACCACACCACACCACACCACACCACACAACATAACACAACACAACACAACACATCTCATAAACATCCCAAAACTCACTCACTCACTCACTATCACACACGCAATCACATGCACACACAAAGAAACCAATACGCTTACCAACATTCTACCAATATCACTCCACCATTTCACAACACAAATTCTACCATCTACAAAACACATACACCATCCATCTCACTCTCACTTCCAAACGCCTCAACTATATACACACTCACGCAATCACACTTACATTCTCTCACACACACACTCACTCACAAATTCAATCTATCACTCTCCAACCGTCAATGTCTGTCTCTCTGTCTGTTGACTGTCACACAAACACATTCACTCTCACACTCTCACTCTCACTTACACACACACACACACTGTCTGTCAGTCACCAGGTCGGTCAGTCAACCAACAAGTCAATAATTGCATCAACCAGTCTGTCAATCACTCGCAACACCACTAATCACAACATTGTCTACAAATTTCATCCACTATCTCACACACACACACACACATTACTTCACTGCGAACAACCACTCCACACACCCCATTATGCACACTTCTCCTCACTCATCACTCATCACTCGTCAGTCATCACTCCTCACTCCTCACACTACTCTCAATTCATCTCATGCATTCTCTGTCATCACCATCATCATCATCATCATCATCATGCACATGCCTATGCTCATGCCGCACATTCACTCTATACACATTCATTTCACACTACTCCTTCTCAACAGGTGTCCATTCCGATTCCACATCCATTCCACCAGTCACCGACATCACTCATCCAACTCAGTCTGACCAAACCACATCCACGTCACACTTGATCGACACCACGCCAACAATCTCCACTACAGCATTCCAGTCGACAGAATCAACCACACTGCAAACACCAGTCTCAACTCCAGTGTCAACATCACAGCACACACCAGAGTCCACATCACAGCCATCACCACAGTCTACACTAATGCAAACAGGTACGTATCCGATTTTCATTGCAACAACACACACCACACCACACCACACCACACCACACAACATAACACAACACAACACAACACATCTCATAAACATCCCAAAACTCACTCACTCACTCACTATCACACACGCAATCACATGCACACACAAAGAAACCAATACGCTTACCAACATTCTACCAATATCACTCCACCATTTCACAACACAAATTCTACCATCTACAAAACACATACACCATCCATCTCACTCTCACTTCCAAACGCCTCAACCTTATACAAACTCACGCAATCACGCTTACATTCTCTCACACACACACTCACTCACAAATTCAATCTATCACTCTCCAACCGTCAATGTCTGTCTCTCTGTCTGTTGACTGTCACACAAACACATTCACTCTCACACTCTCACTCTCACTTACACACTCACACACACACTGTCTGTCAGTCACCAGGTCGGTCAGTCAACCAACAAGTCAATAATTGCATCAACCAGTCTGTCAATCACTCGCAACACCACTAATCACAACATTGTCTACAAATTTCATCCACTATCTCACACACACACACACACATTACTTCACTGCGAACAACCACTCCACACACCCCATTATGCACACTTCTCCTCACTCATCACTCATCACTCATCAATCATCACTCCTCACTCCTCACACTACTCTCAATTCCTCTCATGCATTCTCTGTCATCACCATCATCATCACCATCATCATGCACATGCACATGCACATGCCACACGATCACTCTATACACATTCATTTCACACTACTCCTTCTCAACAGGTGTCCATTCCGATTCCACATCCATTCCACCAGTCACCGACATCACTCATCCAACTCAGTCTGACCAAACCACATCCACGTCACACTTGATCGACACCACGCCAACAATCTCCACTACAGCATTCCAGTCGACAGAATCAACCACACTGCAAACACCAGTCTCAACTCCAGTGTCAACATCACAGCACACACCAGAGTCCACATCACAGCCATCACCACAGTCTACACTAATGCAAACAGGTACGTATCCGATTTTCATTGCAACAACACACACCACACCACACCACACCACACCACACAACATAACACAACACAACACAACACATCTCATAAACATCCCAAAACTCACTCACTCACTCACTATCACACACGCAATCACATGCACACACAAAGAAACCAATACGCTTACCAACATTCTACCAATATCACTCCACCATTTCACAACACAAATTCTACCATCTACAAAACACATACACCATCCATCTCACTCTCACTTCCAAACGCCTCAAACATATAAAAACTCAAGCAATCACATTTTCACTCCCTCACACACTCACTCACTCACGAATTTAATCTATCACTCTCCAACCGTCAATGTCTGTCTCTCTGTCTGTTGACTGTCACACAAACACATTCACTCTCACACTCTCACTCTCACTTACACACACACACACACACACTGTCTGTCAGTCACCAGGTCGGTCAGTCAACCAACAAGTCAATAATTCCATCAACCAGTCTGTCAATCACTCGCAACACCACTAATCACAACATTGTCTACAAATTTCATCCAATATCTCACACACACACACACACACGCAATACTTCACTGCGAACAACCACTCCACACACCCCATTATGCACACTTCTCCTCACTCATCACTCATCACTCGTCAGTCATCACTCCTCACTCCTCACACTACTCTCAATTCATCTCATGCATTCTCTGTCATCACCATCATCATCATCATGCACATGCACATGCACATGCACATGCACATGCACATCACTCTATACACATTCATTTCACACTACTCCTTCTCAACAGGTGTCCATTCCGATTCCACATCCATTCCACCAGTCACCGACATCACTCATCCAACTCAGTCTGACCAAACCACATCCACGTCACACTTGATCGACACCACGCCAACAATCTCCACTACAGCATTCCAGTCGACAGAATCAACCACACTGCAAACACCAGTCTCAACTCCAGTGTCAACATCACAGCACACACCAGAGTCCACATCACAGCCATCACCACAGTCTACACTAATGCAAACAGGTACGTATCCGATTTTCATTGCAACAACACACACCACACCACACCACACCACACAACATAACACAACACAACACAACACATCTCATAAACATCCCAAAACTCACTCACTCACTCACTATCACACACGCAATCACATGCACACACAAAGAAACCAATACGCTTACCAACATTCTACCAATATCACTCCACCATTTCACAACACAAATTCTACCATCTACAAAACACATACACCATCCATCTCACTCTCACTTCCAAACGCCTCAACTATATACACACTCACGCAATCACACTTACATTCTCTCACACACTCACTCACTCACAAATTCAATCTATCACTCTCCAACCGTCAATGTCTGTCTCTCTGTCTGTTGACTGTCACACAAACACATTCACTCTCACACTCTCACTCTCACTTACACACACACACACACACACTGTCTGTCAGTCACCAGGTCGGTCAGTCAACCAACAAGTCAATAATTCCATCAACCAGTCTGTCAATCACTCGCAACACCACTAATCACAACATTGTCTACAAATTTCATCCACCATCTCACACACACACACACATTACTTCACTGCGAACAACCACTCCACACACCCCATTATGCACACTTCTCCTCACTCATCACTCATCACTCGTCAGTCATCACTCCTCACTCCTCACACTACTCTCAATTCATCTCATGCATTCTCTGTCATCACCATCATCATCATCATCATCATCATCATGCACATGCACATGCACATGCCACACAATCACTCTATACACATTCATTTCACACTACTCCTTCTCAACAGGTGTCCATTCCGATTCCACATCCATTCCACCAGTCACCGACATCACTCATCCAACTCAGTCTGACCAAACCACATCCACGTCACACTTGATCGACACCACGCCAACAATCTCCACTACAGCATTCCAGTCGACAGAATCAACCACACTGCAAACACCAGTCTCAACTCCAGTGTCAACATCACAGCACACATCAGAGTCTACATCACAGACATCACCACAGTCTACACTAATGGAAACCGGTACGTATTCAATTTTCTGTTCATACCGCTTGACCTTATGACACAGTCGTTTGCAGTAATATATCCCATTTTGGTGTTTTTATAGTTTGTGTTGTTTTTTTCTGTTTTCTCTCATTAGTTTCTGTTTCGCATTTTCCTCGTTTCTTGTTTATCTTTATTGTTTTTCCACTGTTTCTTCGCTTTCCCTGTTTATCTTTCATACATCCACAATTTTTCATTTTTATTTATTATTATTTTCCCTCTGTTTTTTTGTATTTTGCTGCTGCTCATGGTTTTCGTCCAGTTTTATTATTCCTGAAATATTCTTCAATTATTTATCACATATTTTGCATTAACCCATGTCCCCACTGTCTGTGTATCCATATTATTGCATAAGCTCTCGCATTTGCACACACATAACTCCATGAATTAATATACTTCGATTGAGAAATTACTTGTTGAGCTGTTAACTTATATTTCTTTATCCCTGTTGATTATGTTTACAAACTTTCTACTGTATTGCAATGTATTACACAGTTGAGATTTCAACCGCTCTTGTATTTTGCTTCAGTAAATTAGTAATTTCCTCGATTTTTCAGTATTTATCTCTTTCTAATTTACTTATTGACGAAAGATATAATATTCTGTGGACAGACAGCATTAACATCCCTAACATCGACCGAACTCAAAAACTTCATTCTTGCACTTGAGCACAACCTCTAGAACTTTGAGTCGGCAAACGATTGTTATCTTTTCTTTTACTTACCTCATTCAATTCTTGATATTTCGAGGAAGAGTGAAACTTGTGTGTTCGGTTTCCATTGTCGTTTTGTTTATGCATTGTTTTAATAACTCATGTTTTGGTCCGAAATGCTTCCCCGCTTACAGTGGTGGTTCACTTGATTCAGCGCTTGTTTAAACGAATGTGAATCGTTTGCAATAATGACGAAACTATTCTAAGAAAATAATTATAAATAATATAATTGAAATATGCATTTAAAACGTTTACGGTACAAATGAGAATTTCATAACATTCAAAAGATTACGAACACGACTGACATAACAAACACGCAAACATACAGTTGACATTTCAGAAAACTACAGAGTTGATGTTTACTCCAGAACTTGAACCTAGCGCCGTTCGCTTCGATAGGTTCCACGTTATCTACTTAGCTCTTAAATTCTGACAACTAATACTCTGTTCCATGAGGTGAAGTTTAGTTCATCGACATTAGTTTTTTGGATCTTCCCATTGACGTTCAGAACTGTAATTGACCATTCTCTTTAGGTATAATTGCATTATGTGGTGAATAATTCCACATTGTATTTATTTGATGTATATTTCTTCAACAGAGAGGAATAGACCATTACTCGAAATTGTATTCACAAGCATTTTTCAGACGAAACTGTTTTATCCAAGATCGAAGTTAACCAGTACATAATAACCTGTAAACGGTGGCTTAATTTTTTGGATTCGTTCAAGTTAAATAATAACACTTTTTGATGCCAGCTCATTTGTCTAGAGGTTATAGGTTCACGCGTGAGACTGATGGATTCTGGGTTCAAATCTCACGAGACAGAGTAGTGGATGCCCACTACTGAGGAGTCACACATTTGGATGAAACGGCCGTCCAGTGTTTCCAGATTTTCCGTAGTGCTCTAGTTTCAAATGGCTCATGAATTCAACTATAAAAATTTACTAAGATATTCACAAAACCCCTTCTGATAATAAATGCAAAATTAATGAACAGTTAACATTCTTTTAAATTGGTGAATTATATATGTTCACATTAGTTTAATATACTTTGAAATCACAAACTGATATAAAATAGACCATCATTAGAAACTTGATAACATGGGACTCCTTAACAGTTCCTATTCATAACCCTCACTCAAAAATCAAATACAAGACCTTCAATCTCATGTGTGAACGCTAAACATCTACTACTATCATTAAGTCCGCATTCAACAGTATTAGTATCCAACCTTAAACAATCCATCATCTTTTTCAATATTTTCAATTATTAAATAAACTACTAGCTTGAAATGTTAATAATAATAATAATAATAATAATAATAATAATAATAATAATAATGATCAATATTTTATTATTCTTATCTTTTGGGAAATTATAACAGCAATCTTTAAAGTTCAAGGAACACTTTATACTGGTAACAATTCAGATCTATATCTTTGGTCATCAGATTTAACAAATTCATCAACACTCGAATATATAACATTGAAAATGAAATTTTGTACTTTTGTAAGTTCTTTTTCTTTATTAATTATATAATGATTGTATGTTCTTATATTCATCAATTATGAAATAACAATATAATTAGGCTCATTAGTTTGAATGTAATTCCTAAATATTGTAACGCATAAAATTGAATATTGTTAAATACACGGTGGTTTTCGCATAGATGTATTTTTTTCATCCCTTTTGAAAATTTTTTTTTCATTACACAAGCAAATGGCTATCAGAACTTAGTAGCTAAGTGAAGTTTGAAATGAATGGTACTTGATTCGAATCTTGAAGTGAACATCAACGCTGAGATGCAGGTACATTCGGTTGACGGGTCTCTATTGAGAAGAAACACGTGTCTTGGATTCCACTACTAAAAACTATCCATTTTTGCTTAGAAAGTTTGTGAATTAAGGTAATATCGAGGCAATAAGCACAGTATGCACATATACTAATAACAGACTGATCAATCACAGTCATAAACCTTAATGAGAAGATTCAAGCAAACAATACCAAGTGAATATTTTCATTCCATTTTCTAAATTTTTTTTCATCACGCTTTGTCCAATATTATAATGTGCCCCACAAGGGCAGTCGAACTGATAAATACAAAACACGGTGGTCATTCTAGGTGATTCATCTCTTAAACTCATCGCTACTCATAAGCGCCTAGAACAAACTAGTCGTAGTTCTCTATCATTGAATGGTTTTCAGATTGTTCTGTGTAATCTTCTGGATTAATGTTTTGCTAGCCGCATCCCCCCTCAATTGTAGGAGCATTATTTCAAATGTATCTTTTAAGGGAAACTTACAGATTTAGTTTAGCAAGTTAGTTAAACATTTTGTTATTTCATATGTAGTTGAATCAGACATAGATAATGTTGGGACGGCATATCTCCAAAATTCATATTTGTAATATTATCATATCGATTAATTTATCGATTAAATATTTGGATGGAAGTCACATGATAAACTTATCGATTAAATATTTGAATGCCTGTCGATTGATGAACTGAATGAGTCATGTTTAAAAAAACACATTTTACTATGACAATATCGATTATATATATATATATATATATATATATATATATATATCAGAATGGGTTTTTGTGGAGAGTTTAAGAAATTTCACAAGTTGAAATCATGAGTCAGTTGAAGCTAGACCACCATTGAAAACCTGGAAGCACTGGACGGCCGTTTCGTCCTGGTGTGGGACTCCTCAGCAGTGCGCATCCACGATCCCGCACCACGCGGGGCTCGAACCCAGGACCTACTGGCTTCGCGCGCGAGCACTTAACCACTAGACCACTGAGCCGGCACTGCGCACTGCTGAGGAGTCTCATACCGAGACGAAACGGCCGTCCAGTGCTTCCAGGTTTTCAATGGTGGTCTAGCTTCAACGGACTCATGATTTCAACTTGTGAAATATATATATATATATATATATATATATATATATATATATATACGTTTAAAATTGTGTTTGAGTGCTCGCTCGCTTGCTCGTTTTCTGGCTGTTTGCAGAATATATTTTCTATAACAAGCCTGGACTTCTCCTTCTAGATAGAGGGGCTGGGACTCATCAATAGCTAGATTACTGGTATTTGGTCAGTGAGTCTTGTTCTCGTTCGCAGATTAAATGAACTCGTGAAGCTTCAAACCTAACAGATAATATTTGTCGTAATGGATTATTAGGTTTATTAAACTTTAGACAATCCACAAAAACGTGAGAGGATAGGATCGGCAGGTTTAGGCATATTAAACTCCATTTTTGTATATGACATTCATTTAAGGAGCTACATTATATTGGAATTTCGGCAAGACTCTAATTTATGGACGAGCTATTCAGAAGCGTAACAGAGATTCCATGGTCACAGAGCCAACTTCAGTGCTTAATGCTAACGTACGATCGGTTCACACTGGATTTTGTACAAAACGTGATAATCGATCGGCTATAATAAACAAAACACTAGGACTATAATTTGTGGACGAATCAATCAAGTATAAGATAACATCTTGGATTTCAGCTCGAAAGCCTTTCATCCATTTGGCTAAATAGATTTCTGGCATTATAGCTGATGTCAGTTCGTGATGAAAACTCCATATATAATTCCTAACTAAGGGCAAATTATGACAGTTATTGCGAACTGGATAATAAAAGCACCAGTAACACTGGTTGCAGCCACGTACTACAATATATACGGATGTTTTGAGAGTGTACATACTCCTACATAGGCTTGGTTATGTGCATCATGTCGTTATCCACAAATAGCTTTTTGTGTACTCAACAAACGGAGTGCACACAAACAATATTGCAGCTGTCGCATCGAATCTGAAAGAGTTTTTGAGACTTTATCATTGTTCCAAAGGCCGACTATTCTGTAGCCGTATAGGTTATTTCCTCTTTCGGAAACATCACCATTTTAGAACCCCTGAACCTCCTTCAAATCTTGACAAGTTTTTGAATCACGTATAAGAAGTGTATCCACTTCATTTCCTTGGTTTTGTGTAATATATTTTTACTCTATACTAACTGTTTGCTGATTGGTTAATATTTATCAAGGTCACTTACGATTCGTTAAAAGGTCGTTCATAAATTATAGTGTCGCCGGTCGTTTTGATGGACAGATAGTTCGAATGATATTGGTGATATGATACCATTCTTAACTAAAGGTAGTAGGATTTGACAATATATGGAAATTTTCAGTTACACGTCTTTATGAAATATTGTAATATTGATGATTGATTGTTCTTGAATATGGAATTCACTGCTACTTCTGATTGAATTGGAAACTCAGAATGATGAGGTGATTCTTCTTATGTTGATTAAATGTCCATTTACATTAGTGAAGATTTCATGGGGTGACCCATCAATACAAAAGGGATTACATTAAACACTACTTAATCTGCCGACGCAGTTTTATGTTGACGTAAAGATAATTTTATCTTCTATGCAAGCTAAATTATTTCGAATGGTATTAACTATCCACAGATGTTTGAAAATAATTACGAAATGTATGTTGTTTTGGAAACAGAATAAAGTCAGTACATTAAGAAACATTGTGGTGGCCAAAAAATATATATCAAGTTACTACATCCATTTGTTAATATTATAGTATACAAATCATAAATTTTAAAAACAAATAAAAGTTAGGGGACGTTACTTAAATCGGCAGATTGTTCGTGTTCCATTTGCGTTTGGTACCAGAATCCACAATTATAGATAATAAATAATTTCGATGAAGTTGTTATGATGCCAGTGATATTGCCAAACATAGAATATAATAAAATAATGACGCAGTCTATAAATGTAGATGATATATGCTTGAGACTTCAGTTATCGTAGCTACAAGTAATAGAGAGCGGGAGGAGTGTGTATAATAGTGTATTTACTAGCAGTCGCAGTGTTACATAACGGAAGAAAGTGTGTTCAAGTTCATATATAAGGTAGAATTATTTGGAATGTTATGATTAATAAGTTTTGATAGAACATACATTAAAGAGATAATATTCATGACAAAATGTAATTGAAAATCAGTATCAGTATCAGTATCAAATAAACACTAAATCTTTGATTGTGTTTTGTAGTCTGAATGATTCATTGCAATACTAAGTCTCACTTTGCCGTATACTGATAACATTTATTCTGAACCCCCAAATGCTCTAGTACGGTCGAGGCTAGAGAGAGTCTCCCTACCTCAAAATACCCTCACATGACCACACGTATACAACCACTGTCAGGGAAGTTCTGCTCACTGTTATTTCTCACGGCGGTGGTGTTGTTTACGAAATCTAGAGGACAAAAAGCGAATATTCGACTCTTTTTTTCATATGGTTCACTGGACTTGGAGGATTCACCTAGGAGAGTTGGAAAACCCTGATTACAAACTGATGACGCACATAGACTCTGAGGTCTTCAACGAATAAATGTGATATATGAACCGATTGTTAGTTACTGGCTATCATGAGACAGCATCTTCTCGAATCCCCTGTACTAATAAAAATCAAATAAATCAAGTTTCTTTTTGTACATCCATTTTATTTCACAAGTTGAAATCATGAGTCGATTGAAGCTAGACCACCATGGAAAACCTGGAAGCACTGGACAGCCGTTTCGTCCTCGTATGGGACTCCTCAGCAGTGTACATCCACGACTCGGCACTTCGCGGGATTCAAATCCATGACCTCCTGGTTTCGCACGCGAGCACTTAACCATTAGACCACTGAGCCAGCATCCAGGTTTTTCATTTTGGTCTAGCTACAATTCACTCATGATTTCAACTTATGAAATTTCTAAAAATCTCCACAAAATCCATCTATTTTATTGTTTTATTCTAATTATTGTATTTTCTTCAAATAGATTATTGAAAGTTTAAATGAAAGTTATTCTTCTATAATTAAAAATGCAAAATGTTCTAATGTAATCTTCATCCCAATAAATGTGAATAATTTACAAATAAGACAAATTAATAATACAAATCTCATTCAAGGTGTTCAAGGAATTGCTGATATTGAATTATTACTTATTAATACTACAAATATAAATGAAAGTCTATTTATTACGGCTTTAATATATCATGGAATGAATATTAATAGAACTTTTAATATCTATTTATTGAATATTGAAGTTAATCGTAAGTGATTCTATTCACATTATTATCTTCTGAAACATACTTTATTCTAATGTATTAGCTCATGAGGATAAACTATATTTGATGAACTAATGTAGATGAGAAGATACGAGTAAATAACAAGTAAATTTAAAACTATACTCCATTGCACAAGTAAGTGGCTATCAGGATTTAGTAGCTAAGTGGATAATGCAATGACGTTTGTGAAGAACGGTACTGGGTTCGAGTCCTAGAATGAACATTAAATTTGAGATGCAGGTGCATCCAGCTGATGAATCCTGAATACGACGAAACGCGTGTCCTGGATTCCAGTATTACAAACTATCCATTTTTGCTTACAAAGCATCGATAAAGCATCTTATAGAGCATCTGCGTCATTGTAAATGATTCTAAACAATTTCATACAGTTTCCGGCAACTAATCGCCATGGTTGCATAAACCGCAACATGATAACCTTTATTTACCAATATGGCATAGACGAAATGTCAGTGACTTCATGAAATGATACGGTGTTTTGATCTAAAAGCTCCTACCCTTTATCCAACACATTCCAACATCCGTAAATATCATCTGTCGTGGGAAGATATAACTCGTTATCTAGAGCACTGATTAAAATGATCTAACCAGTAGTGGATTATTTTTTCTGAACAAACGTTAGCTGATAATTTTTTACTTCTTAATACATGCAATCGATGTCAAGTAGTTGATGGTTATAGCCTTAAGTAAATGTAAGATAACCGGAGTTTGGTAGCTTGATATTTGCCCAGAAATATGTCCATGTATTCAAGTGAACGTTTTACATCAATTCTATGCATAAAAATCATAACATCCATATGACTTGAATATTATCAGAGCTTAACGCAAACAATGAACGGTAATCCTGTTTTATATATCCTTATTTGTAGTTCATTGTCTGACTACAGTATGATCGAATCAATGATGTAGACAATATATATATATATATATATATATATATATATATATATATATATATATATATATATATATATATATATATATATATATATTGCTTATATAGTATATGTTCTTCTGTCAAATCCTCTCAATGACAACGATAGTATAAAAAGTTCAATACGAGTGTCTTGGATGTTCATATTTCATACAATAATTTCAGTAGACAAACAAAGTGATAAGAGGTGGAGTAGGCAGATATTCCTACCCATAAATACTACACATTACAATCGTTAACATAGCATAGATAATGAATAATGTGATAATGTGATAAGCACTGTATAAAATAAGTGTAGAGACACATTAAAGCAAAGATCTGAAGTATAAGTGTAGAATTACAAAACCATGAATAAAAAAGTTATATGTGTGGTGTATGCTACTTATATCAACAGATATGAGCAGTATGTAATACTAATCAGAAATGGAATTCCTGGTAGAAAATAGTTGAGAAGATCGAATTGAAGGGGATAGTAATACAAACAGAAAGTAATTATAATAGAAGCTGTAGTTAAGGAACGATAAAGTATGTAAGAGATAAGATGTGCTTACATAAGCGAACAAATGACAAGGTGAAAATATGATTTAAGAAGAATGAATTGATTGATCTATCCAAAAACTAGAATAACCAATATGGGCTGAACAAAAGACCAGTCACATCATGGTGACTGAGTTGTTTATTGTTTACATGGTAATTGAATCTCTTAGCTTTATTGTTCATTATTTCCAATCTGCTTTTTCTCTCGTTATTTTAGTCATCTCTAATGAAACTACAATATCTACCGTAATGTCAACAAGTAAATCCACCGAAAATAAACTAGATATTTCATCAGTAACAACATCAACTCCAAGATTTATGTCAGTCGTTACCAGTCCAGAATATCATTTCATTAGTGATGGTATATCTTTTGAAGCTTTTGAAAATTCTCTACCTCCATTATTTGATAGTGAGTTCTTTCTTTCTGTTTGTATGTTAGTTTTTCTTTTTAAAAAAAATATTTCCATCTTTTATGTGATAGAATGTTACATATTTAGGCGTGACTATAATTTATGGACGAACTAATCAGAGTTGAGATAACAGATATTGGATTTCGGTGCGAAATTCATCCATCCATTTGGTTAAATAGCGTTTACGCATTTTAGCTAATGTCAGTTGGTGATAAAAACCATAAATCTTACGTTTAATCATAACCATCAACTATAAATCATAATTCTATTTCCTTACACTGCTTTATAATAATCGTTTAGTCCTAGTTAGTAGGTGGACATTCTGAAGGTTAGTTTAACGTCGCTCAAAAATCTTCCATAAATTGTAGTATCACCATTCAAACAATAAAATAGTATTTATTTATTTATTTCAATCGACATAATTGAAAACATGTATGATATGGTAATTATCCTTCATGTGAAGAGCATAAATCAGTGTTGTTAGTGGTTCAATATATTTTAATCCAGCTAAATCGTATTTTGACGGTTATTGAATTGAACATTCTATCAACTATCGTATATTTTCATCGACTAAATTACACGTTAGAAAATAACGGAATAGAATATGTCGAATACGAAAATGAATTTTGTATTCGCATATTTTGCACACTCACTGATTCAGACAGACAATCTCAGACACGAATTGAAAGAAGTCAACCGAAACGAAACAAACTGAAATATAGTGATATGCAGCTGAGATGGCAAGTGAGCCAAATCGTTTTGATCAGTTGTTATTTAATATCTATATTCAGACGAAAATCATATAAAAACACTTCATGAATACTGTTATGTCCCGAAAAGAATAATGAGTGGTAAATTTGGTATCCATTTATGGACCAAAACTATACGTAAACTTCTGTCGTATAATTGTTAAATAACAGTAATTATTGGCATTTCCTTGATATAGTCATGATGATGGATTGTAGTCAGCTGTGAAATCTAAGTTATGAATTTCATTCTATTTAGGATTCACCAGTTGAATTTACCTGTAATCCGATACTGATATTCTCTCAGGGACAAGAACTCAATATCTTTCGATTTAAACGACTAACTCTTTTTGAGTAATTCACTATCTATCTCGACTCGTCATTTTTTCATTGAACTATAGCGTCTCACGTGCAATTGAGTTTACTTCAGTCAAGGTCTTTTGTTGACCTATTTAATGGACAAAGTCATCCATGCTATAACAACTTGTTGTGCTGTTATTATTATTGTGCTTGTATGAAATACATTTGCTTGAACATTATTTAGCGCCTTGTGACGCAGTTGGGTGCTTTCCTCAATGTGTGTCCTATCCACTTCCAGCGCTTCTTCCTGATTTCTTCCTCCTTTAAGATATGGTTTGTTCTCTCCCACAGTAGGTTGTTGCTGATAGTGTCCGTCCAACGGATCCAAAATATTTTTGGGTTGACAACTGTTAATAATTACCTGTATCTTCTGGATGATGGCTTTCCTAGTTCTCCAGGTTTCCACCCTATACAGTTGAACTGTCTTGACATTTGTATTGAAAATCCTGACCTTGGTGTTAGTTGACAGTTGTTTTGAGTTTCAGATGTTCTTCGGTTGCATATATACTGATCTTGCTTTACCGATTCGCACTTTCACATCTGCATCAGATCCACCATATTCATCAATGATGCTGCCCAGATATGTAAAGGTTTTACATCTTCCAAATCTTCTCTGTCAATTGTGATTGGATCGGTGCATCCTGTGTTGTATCGGAGATCCTTGCTCTTCCCTTTGTGTATATTGAGGCCTATTGCTGCTAAGGCTGCTGCTACACTGCCTGACACCGGTCTTCACTTCCAGTCCGTTAGTACTTGTTCCTCATCCCAAATCTTGCTGAAGAGGATGTAAAGTTTCCTTGCAGTTACCGCTACCTTTGCTTTTAATGCCCTTACTGGAATGTTGTCTGGTCCTGCTGTTTTGCCACACTTGATTTGTCTGACGGCCATGCTAATTTCTTCAATAGTTGGTGGGCCAACAACGATTCGAAGGTCCGTGAGAGCTGCTTGTATTTTGGGTGGGTTCATCGGAGCTGGTCGATTCAACAGTTCTTTGAACTGTTGTACCCACCTGTTTTGTTGCTCTACAAAGTTCGTGAGTACCTTGATTCACATGCATTTCACTGGTCGTTTTGAGTTACGGTGATTTCAGGAGCGTTTCTTTGTCGTGTCATACAGTTCTCTCATATTTCGTTCGCTTGCATCATATATATATTTCATAATACATTTAATATTAGAATATTTTATATTTCAATTTATACTTCTCATTTAGAACCTGCGATAGGAAAAATTGAGGCATATATCCACAAAGTAGAATCAAGGGATTTCATGGAATGGTCAGATGATTTAAGTATACCTACAAGTGCATTTTATTTAAATTTGTCATCACAAATTCAATATCTGGTAGGTATTAATTTTATCTATCTGTTTTTACAGTTTAATTAAACATATTACTTAATATGATTTATGAGTAATAAGCAACATTGTTTGTTTGATATTTACTACTGATAGGCATATATCTATAATGATGTTATGTAACTTCTGTGGTCCGATATCTCACTCCATTTGGATCACATGAATCTTATTGAAATATACATATGGTCAATCCTGGTATTTAATTATCAACTTAATCCTGGTTAATGAATAACGACATTGATTAATAATTCAGATGCGAGAATGGATTTTTGAATACATATATTTTGTACATTCATTGACCTGGACTGACAATCAGATGGACGAAGTGAAGAGAAGAGAAGAGAGCGAAGCAAAGAAGAAGGCATATGAGCCAATTTGATTTAATCAAGCGTTTATCGATATTTATAGCCGAACAAAATAAGTAACAGGCATGTGAAGAATAGGATAAGAAGTGCACACACATGCACTCATATAAAATCAGTCAAGGTTGATAAGTGAATAATTGACAAGGTCAAGATGTGACTAAAAATATGAATACATTGGGCTATTCGGAATGTAGAATAAGCTAAATGAGCTGGTATTGTAACCGATACTACATAACCATATCACGTATAAATTATAACATAATCACTAATACTTGAGTTAATACATGTTCGAATTTGGTGAGCCCTTTAGTCAACTTATTCACTATGCAGTCTCATTCATGGTATCAACGATTTGCCTACATCTTTAAGTTGTCATCAACATGCTTCTTAGATCAGGTATGGTTGATCACTTGTTACAGCTCATACACATATTCCTCTTATTAGCCTAAAGTGGTAGATGATTCAGTCTGTTGCTTATGTTTATGTGCTACTGCAACTTTATTCATTCATCCATTCTCATTTTCGTTCATATTCGCTTCATGTTCTTGGGGGCCTCGTGAACTGTGCTGTACGATAGAAAATTGAAGTCAACGCTTAATATAGTCTTCTGAAATTTATACACCGTAGGAGATATCTAATAGAAGTTATCAGGACGAGCGATGTATGAAGTTGAAGAATTATGTTTAAGACATCCCACTGCATCTCGATCTCGAATGAAATAACACTGGTTATGATTCAGCTATTATTCAATTTTAAATATGGGAATTCTTAAGAAAGCTGATTGTCCCTTCGATAGATGAATGGCGAGGGGTTCGAATGATACACGGAGCATCAATTTCATCAGTATTGAAGTTAAGCCATGTTGATGAATAACTACAAATTAAATTATGTACGATCTTGATAATAAGATACTCTTGTAAAACAGGCGTCATGCAATCCGCCTATGATGCCAATAATCTCCGGATAATTTAGTATAAAGAACTTTCCAATTTTTCCATGGAGTGATATATTTTAGTATAGTGGGAATTATTGGAGATCATTGAAATTTCATGATCTATAAAAGACAAACTGATCTCAGTTAGAATATCATTAAAAACGTGAAATCTTTGAATAGCTGTTTTGTCCTCAAATTTAACTCTTCAATACTACTAAATCCGAAAACTCACCACAAGAAATTGACTTCAGGACCGTCAGAATCGCGATCGAATGCTCAACATCTGGACCACTATGCTTCTGTCCAACGGTGTTAATGCCTCACTTCTGTACATTCGCGATATTTGGTAACTCACAAGCATTGTATGTGAAAAATAATTGTCTCACACCTAACATGGTTGATCTCCACTGGGCATGGCATCCAACTGGAACTCCAGAAATCCCACGTTGACGAGAGTCACTTGTGAGAAATTGAATATTAGTTGTTAACAAGGATTTGCTGAGTGGTTAAATTTTTAAGAAATTAATATTAGTTGGACCAACTTTAAAAGCTTCGGATCATGATTGTATAACATACCTCAGCAATCTACGTTCTCGCCTCCCGAACATATCTTAAGAAACTTAAATCATATAATAATATATTATACGTCAAAATAAAGCCCATATAAAAGGGAATATAAGTATACATAATGTGATTATTGAACAATTATACAATAAAAATATTCATATAATATTAGTGTATTAAAAGTCCGCGGAAGTTACTTGTAATTTATTCTTCACTGGGATATAACACTATGCAAACTATTATACAGTTCATGTGGATGTTATCGTCGAAACCAGTACGTTTCCTCTATTGAATTGCCTTCAATTCATCTACTGTTTACATAAGCTTCTTTTCTTTATTCAAAAGTAATTTTGGACAAATTTGATGTTCAAAAACATAACGGTTGTTTAATTACAATGTTTTGATGGCACACATTAAGGTTTGGTATATTGTTTTATGGTAATCAGTGATTTAATAGGAAGCATAGACTTTTCGTATTTCATTCACTTGGTATTGTTTTGCTTGAAACTTCCCATTGGTGTTTAGGATTGAAATTGACCAGTCACTAATTGCCATATGTGCATACTGTGCGTATTGCCTCGATATCCATCTTTGCTTTTTGTATTTAGTTTTTAGTTGATTTATTTAAAACTGATCGGTCATTTGAACAGTTGACTGCATAACTGAAATATCTTTTTCTTTCCGTAATGATTAGGTTACTAAAAGTGTACAATTAGCGAATGTTCAAATTTCATTATCGTTCAAAATTCTGGACGTCACGTTCCAAAATGTCATAATTCAAATTGAAACTGTCTACAGAGTTAATAATACTGAAAAATATGAATATCGATTAATCAACAGTATCTTCATGAAAATGTCAGTGGAAATGAGATCACTGGAAGCTTCACTATTATCCGATAAGGAATTAACGCAGATTTTCATTGAAGGATGGGGAAAGCTGAATGTTACGAGTGGACCAAATTTGGTTGACATTGAGTTCACTCGTAAGTTGACAATATCATATTATGCGAAAAACGTCTTCTGATAGACTGTAAAAGTCAGCTCACTAATAAAATAATTTAAACCATTTTCTCATGTTCTAGTGAGAATTCGTGACCTGTAAAACTTGATCTCGACAGAAGTAGAACAATTGTGTAAAATATCAGAGAAGAGATAATCATTTTGTGGTTCAAATTCATTGAAGTGATAATTCTAGCAGTAGACATCGAGTTATTCATCATGACAGTTGAGCGTTCATCCCTAAATTTGAAAGGTTTGGTTTTGATCCCAATTTAAGTCATAAATGTGCACTGATGTGGCTTATTATACAAGGATTGAACAGCATTCTATGGATTCCTGATATTCAGTTATTCACTGACAACGATTACTCTGTGACAAAAGCAACTTAAATACTGAAAATCAATCTTAAGTCAATCCAACTTTGCCATTGGCAATCTGGTCTGAGTAAGCGAGAGAAATATGAGAATACAGAAAATTATCTCCGGTTAACTCAGTATTAAAAAGGATCATACCATAATATCAATAACGTCGAAAACAGGTATTTTCTATAATGAGTATGCGAAATCTAATGATGCTTTATGAAAATGGTGATACAAAATCTGATAAGGTGTATTGTGTGCGAGAGCATTTGAGGGGAAATAAGTATATTTTACTCACAAAATACCGCAACTAATGACTGAAAATTAAAACAACTTTTATATCTAATATAAGTATTAGGTGTTGTGTAGCTTTGATTTGTGAAAGTGTTCTTGTTTGCGACGAGTGAATCAACGACAAATACAAATACATGTGTGTTTTCATACTTAATTGAACAGGTTCACCAACAAGCATGTCAGCTTCGACTAGCAGCCTTGAACAGACAGACAGAAGTATTTCAACGGACATCGCGCAACTGATTAGGACAACGGAGACGGTGAGGTCAACATCAACTGTGAAGATGGCGAGCCCATCATCAACTACTACATCAGATGATTTCGGTATGTCCATAATGTTTCGTCAGAAATCACGTGTTGTTCACATCTATTTTCACACATGTTCACATGAGATTTGAGTTTGTGCTGTGCCCAGTAATTAGTCGATTGATAAATTGATTGATTGAAAGACCGTCTGACCAGCTGCTTGATTGTGTGCATCGATTGAGGCACAGACCCATCACGTGGTTATATTAGATATGGTGACATTATCCGAACAGCTTAGCGACAACTGACGACCAATGTGTTTACATTTTGGAGTGTTCGACTAGATCGCAGTCTCTCGTACAACTCACTTCACTAATGTCATTCCGTGCGTTCTTGTGTGCAATTATCTTTTCGTCTATTTCTAAGCATTACTAACATCTTCCGCAGAATGATTAAAAGTAAATCAAACAAATGTTAAAGATGAAGACACCATACTAGTAACAATCACTGACAACATCGATTTCTACTCACCGAATCATCACGAGTGTGCCTTCAAAATATCAGGAACTTGCAGTGAAAGGATTATTAACATTATCAATAACATTATGCTATTGTAATTATTACATTTCTTGTTACTTTTCGCTTGTAGAGATCTCGGTGTTCGAGGTGCACATTGTGATCTACATTGAAGAACGGTCAGTGCCCATGAATTGGTCAACTGATCTGTCGAATGAGTCAAGTGTCATGTACAGAAATTTGTCGATGTCAATTTGTGACCTGGTAGGTGTGCATTCGTAATGATTATTGCGTTCTTAGTGTACTGGTATGCAATAATCAGAGAAGCAGTGTGTGAATTGTTCGAAACACACCAGTGTAGTGGACAAATCATTTTGTGAAATGATGGGAGTGAAAATCTCCAGGAGAGAGGGGGCATAGTTTGAAGTAAATTGATGAGTGTGTAATGTACAGACTGAGTTAGTAAGTAGTCGTGGATGTGTGTATGTGAGAACGGAAGTTTGTGAGAAGGCAATCAGTTAGTGAGTAGGTAAGAAGTTAGTAGTAGGTGGTGAGTAAGCAGGTGAGCAAGTAGTGAGTTAGTGGTCATGTAAGTGTGAGATTGAAGCGAGTGGTGATGAGTTGGTGTGTTGAGTGTGGTGTTCACATTGGTAGTGTGAGCGTCAGTTAGTTGAGTGAGTAAACCAGTGATTGTCCATTTGTGAAGTAAGTGGTGGTCATGCAGTTAGTCATCATAATGATGATAGCGATGATGAGCACTGGTCGACACCGGTCTAATTGAAAATTGTAGTTGTGGTGTTGATATATGAGCAAGCGAACGACTGACTAATCGACTGATTGTGTATTCTGTGTGGTATATTCTTTGCACGTTGCAGCTATTGAGCGGACTACGTCTGGGTAATGAAGAGTTCTCTCGAGGTGCTACTTGTGTCCGTGTTGTCTTCATTCGGATCATGATCTGGATTGACGGTGTTGGCCGAGCTCACACCGACGCGGGTGTCAATCGTGTCTCAATGGAAGCTGTTCAAGCAATTGTGAATGTGCAGTTGCGTTTGTCTCGTGGATCACAACCAACTGAGACTGATCTGACGGAGACTCTGGTTCGTGGATGCACACTCCTGAATATCAGGAGTGGACCAAGTTTGAGAAACATCACAGCATATCGTAAGTCGTCAATTGTTGTTGCCCATTTTGCCAATGATATGTTGTGATATGATGTGATGTGAGATGAGATAAGATGAGATGATGGTGAAGCGAGACAGTGACTGTTGCGCTATTGAGATAGGAGAACAGTGACAGTATTGCTTATGAGTCGATTGTTCCCAATGTTGGATGTGCACACCCGTAGTGGAACCATCCAGCAGAGAGATCAAAATACTTACTGCTGGATGAGGGGGTGTGAAACACTCCAGTTTTCTCTTACAGGTCACATGCATCGTGGTGATGCTGAAGATGTCGAGTGTTTGCTGTTTACGATGTACGCTGTAGCATTTCTGTAATGTGACCGTGTTGTGTAGCATTGTTTCGTGCAGGTTTTCTATATTGTGAAGAGTGAATCTGTGTGCTAAGGAGAGATGAGTATGTATGGGTGTTTGCTATTGCATGTTAGTTTATCGATTGAAGGATAACCCAGATAAGATTCTTCGAATTCATAGTACTTCAATGCTCCATAACATGGGAGTCTGTATTCTGAGATAATAACAACTGAACTTAAAATGTTTTCGGCAGTATTCGACAATGAGAGTAGGCTCATCAGATAGTTGTGGTGGACCAAACAGTATATTAACCACAAAGGAATAGCAATAAAATTATTACGTCCGAAAGTTAATACAACAGTAAACAACGCATAAATTAATAACACAAAATATAAGTTCAGGGACGTTGCGTGTTCAGTTGTGCTTGGTACCAAATATCCACAATTGTAGATAATTAATAATTCCAATGACGTAAATATATCAGGCACCAGCCAATTTTTGCGACGTAGAATGCAACCATAAAAATAGTTGATAGTTGATCATTAGTTTAGTTATTATATACACAGGCATGTTAGAACGAGACATGTGTGTATGAGACTGTATTTATTAATGCACAGTTAACAATGTCGTGCTATGTGTAATTCAAAACGGAAGGAAGTTTGTTGTCAAGGTCACATACTTAAACAACAAGTACATTCGTTTAGTGATAAATGTACCGATTGTGGAAATAAACAAAATAAATGCAAAAGCTATCAATAACTATTTACAAAGAATGTGTATTAGGCCTATCTCCACAGGTGTTTGTTGTTGCATGCTAGTTTATCGATTGAAAGATAACCCAGATAAGATTCTTCGAATTCATACTACTTCAATGACATTTGCTACTGCCTGAATTGTGGTTGTCATTTTCGCAATGCGTGCTATGGTCACTGGGTGTCACTATATAAAAGGAGTTGTGTTATTTTAAATTTCGTGTTCTCTCCGGAATTTAGAGCTGCAATGAAGACTCAGTCTTCTCTATTTCAACTAGACGTGTAGACTATCCAATTGGAAGCGTTGTTGTGCATCAGTTGGTGTTCTGTTGAGTCGGACAAACAACATCTTGTTAGTAGAATAACAATAATTAGATGGTGGAAATATGAACCATCGTAGTCCCGTGTGGAAGCTGACAGGAAGATATTTCTGACCGATGAATACAACTACATGTGTTTTCCGTTTAATTCCACAGGTCCACGAACAAGCACTGTGACGTCGACTGACGGTCTCGGCCAAACAGAAACAAGTGTCTCGACAGAATCGAGGCAGCCGATCAGGACCACGTCGACAGAGACGATGACTGCAAGATCGACTGTGCTGATGACCAGCCCGTCATCAGCTACTACTGGAGCTGCTTTCGGTAGGTTCACATTATGTTGCATAACATCATGTGCTGTGCATATCTTTTCCTACATACGCTCACACGAGATGTGTTGTTGTGCAGTGTCTGTTGATTGTTTGACTGATTAGTTTATTTATTTAGTTACCGACAGATCATACCGGTTTACGCGTCATTGGTCCTATAGATGATTCACTTCTTTCTGATTGGCGTTATCGTCACATTATATAAGTTATAACAAATAGTCTAAACAATTAACACATATACGGTCATATAAAAAACATTCAGAGTTAATAAGCCGATTATGGACAAGATCAAAATGTGACGAGAAGAATGAATAAATTGATCTGTCCACAAGCTAGATTAATCTATGTGGGCTTGGTACAGTATCATCCGCCACAGTATTTTGAATATTTCCATTAAGTTGAACAATGAGGTAATAACTTAATATATTAATTATTTTATATTAGTCATAATTTTAGAAAAACTGGCGAGATTATAATTTATAAACGAAGCAATCACATTAAAGATAACAGGTCTCGGATCCTGACACGAAATTCATTCATCCATTTGACTAAATAGAGTTTTGGAATTATATCTGATGTCAGTTGGTGATGAGAACCGTAAATCTTACTCCTAAGCTTAAACATTAAGTATAATTCATGATTGCAATTCGTCGCACTGGTTTGTAACCCTCATTTCGTCCTAGTTATTTTAGGTGCCGACTCACAAAATCACTTTAGCATCACTCAAAGGCCGTCCTTAGATTATAGTCTCACCAAACTACTCTATTTGTTTATGATATTTCAAACCATAAACGGATCATTATTGTTACAGTTTTATAAGAAACCGCCGTGGGTACTCAGAGTTGAAAGTTGATCACAGTAATTGTTGGCATTTCCTTGATATAGTCATGATGATGGATTGTAGCCAGCTATGAAATCTAAGTTATGAATTTCATTCTATTTAGGATTCACCAGTTGAATTTACCTGTAATCCGATACTGATATTCTCTCAGGGACAAGAACTCAATATCTTTCGATTTAAACGACTAACTCTTTTTGAGTAATTCACTATCTATCTCGACTCGTCATTTTTTCATTGAACTATAGCGTCTCACGTGCAATTGAGTTTACTTCAGTCAAGGTCTTTTGTTGACCTGTTTAATGGACAAAGTCATCCATGCTATAACAACTTGTTGTACTGTTATTATTATTGTGCTTGTATGAAATACATTTGCTTGAACATTGTTTAGCGCCTACGCATGTATTCATTCTGCTAGCTTCATTATTAACTGCTTAATCTATTCGATGACTCATCCATTCCCCTGGATATATATATATATATATATATATATATATATATATATATATATATTTGCCTTCTGATCTGAAACACCGTTGAAGATTGTACGATCACGGGTGATTAGTTATCGAAGCACAGCCACTACAGAACAATGCATTTAGCATTTAAAGAGAGGGGTAATGGTTTTAAGTCCTAATGTGGGAATTAACTCTGAGTTGCTGATATATTCTGCTGATGAATCAATAGTAAAATTAAATGACAATCCTATCATTCTATTGCTAGTGATTATTAAACATTACTCTATATTTCTCCGGATATATATATCTCAAAATATTTGATATTCCAATTTCTACTTCTCGTTTAGAACCTACGATAGGACAAATTGAGGCAATGATCCGCATAGCAGGAACATGGGATTTAATGGAATGGTCAGATGATTTAAGCATACCTACAAGTGCATTTTATTTAAATTTATCATCACAAATTCAATATCTGGTAGGTATTAACTTTTATTTCTTTTAATTTTTAAATTTAATATTGAAGTAAATCATCATTTCTCATTGTTTTTGGAGTTTAATATACTTCGCTACATTCACGATATGCGGCATTGATTCTTCTACTGTTTACATAAGCTTCTTTTCTTTATTCAAAAGTAATTTGATGTCCAAAAACATAACGGTTGTTTAATTACAATGTTTTGATGGCACACATTAAGGTTTGGTATATTGTTTTATGGTAATCAGTGATTTAATAGGAAGCATTGACCTTTTGTATTTAATTCACTTGGAATCGTTTTGCTTGAAACTTCCCATTGGTGTTTAGTATTGAAATTGACCAGTCACTAATTGCCATATGTGCATACTGTGCGTATTGCCTCGATATCCATCTTTGATTTTTGTATTTAGTTTTTAGTTGATTTATTTAAAACTGATCGGTCATTTGAACAGTTGATTGCATAACTGAAATATCTTTTTCTTTCCTTAATGAATAGGTTACTAAAAGTGTACAATTAGCGAATGTTCAAATTTCATTATCGTTCAAAATTCTGAACGTCACGTTCGAAAAATATTCCATTCAACTTGGACACATGGAAAACTTTCGAATGATCGAGTGTATCTTAATGAAAATGACAGTTGAAATGAGATCACTGGAAGCTTCACTATTATCCGATAAGGAATTAACGCAGATTTTCACTGAAGGATGGGGAAAGCTGAATGTTACGAGTGGACCAAATTTGATTGACATTGAGTTCACTCGTAAGTTGATAATATCATATTATGCGAAAAACGTCTTCTGATAGACTGTAAATGTCAGCTCACTAGTAAAATAATTTAAACCATTTTCTCATGTTCTAGTGAGAATTCGTGACCTGTAAAACTTGATCTCGACAGAAGTAGAACAATTGTGTGAAATATCAGAGAAGAGATAATCATTTTGTGGTTCAAATTCATTGAAGTGATAATTCTAGCAGTAGACATCGAGTCAATCATCTTGATAGTTAGGCGTTCATCCCTAAACTCGAAAGATATGGTTTTGATCCCAATTTAAGTCATAAATGTGCACTGATGTGGCTTATTATACAAGGATTGAACAGCATTCAATTGATTCTTGATATAATCAGTTATGCGTTGACAACGATTAATTTGTGACGAAAGCAACTCAAATACCGAAAATCACTCTTAAGTCAATCCAACTTTATCATTGGCAATCTGGTCCGCGTATGTGAGAAAAATATGAGTATAGAGAAAATTATCGAATATATAGATGGAAATATGGTTCTCCGGTTAACTCACTATTAAAAAGGATCATACCATAATATCAATAACGTCGACAACAGGTTTTTTCCATAGTGAGTATGCGAAATCTAATGATGCTTTATGAAAATGGTGATACAAAATCTGATAAGGTGTATTGTGTGCGAGAGCATCTGAGGGGAAATAAGTATATTTTACTCACAAAATACCGCAACTAATGACTGAAAATTAAAACAACCTTTATATCAAATATAAGTATTAGGTGTTGTGTAGCTTTGATTTGTGAAAGTGTTCTTGTTTGCGACGAGTGAATCAACGACAAATACAAATACATGTGTGTTTTCATACTTAATTGAACAGGTTCACCAACAAGCATGTCAGCTTCGACTAGCAGCCTTGAACAGACAGACAGAAGTATTTCAACAGAATTCGCGCAACTGATTAGGACAACGGAGACGGTGAGGTCAACATCAACTGTGAAGACGACGAGCCCATCATCAACTACTACATCAGATGATTTCGGTAGGTCCATATTGTTTCGTCAGAAATCACGTGTTGTCCGTATCTATTTCCATACATGGTCACATGAGATTTGAGTTTGTGCTGTGCCCAGTATTTAGTCGATTGATAAATTGATTGATTGAAAGACTGGCTGACCGACTGCTTGAGTGATTGCGTCGATTGAGGCACAGACCCATCACGTGGTTATATTAGATATGGTGACATTATCCGAACAGCTTAGCGACAACTGACGACCATTGTGTTTTCATTTTGCAGTGTTCCACTAGATCGCGATCTCTCGTACAACTCACTTCACTAATGTCATTCCGTGCGTTCTTGTGTGCAATTATCTTTTCGTCTATTTCTAAGCATTACTAACATCTTCCGCAGAATGATTAAAAGTAAATCAAACAAATGTTAAAGATGAAGACACCATACTAGTAACAATCACTGACAACATCGATTTCTACTCACCGAATCATCACGAGTGTGCCTTCAAAATATCAGGAACTTGCAGTGAAAGGATTATTAACATTATCAATAACATTATGCTATTGTAATTATTACATTTCTTGTTACTTTTCGCTTGTAGAGATCTCGGTGTTCGAGGTGCACATTGTGATCTACATTGAAGAACGGTCAGTGCCCATGAATTGGTCAACTGATCTGTCGAATGAGTCAAGTGTCATGTACAGAAATTTGTCGATGTCAATTTGTGACCTGGTAGGTGTGCATTCGTAATGATTATTGCGTTCTTAGTGTACTGGTATGCAATAATCAGAGAAGCAGTGTGTGAATTGTTCGAAACACACCAGTGTAGTGGACAAATGATTCTGTGAAATGATGGGAGTGAAAATCTCCAGGAGAGAGGGGGCATAGTTTGAAGTAAATTGATGAGTGTGTAATGTACAGACTGAGTTAGTAAGTAGTCGTGGATGTGTGTATGTGAGAACGGAAGTTTGTGAGAAGGCAATCAGTTAGTGAGTAGGTAAGAAGTTAGTAGTAGGTGGTGAGTAAGTAGGTGAGCAAGTAGTGAGTTAGTGGTCATGTAAGTGTGAGATTGAAGCGAGTAGTGATGAGTTGGTGTATTGAGTGTGGTGTTCACATTGGTAGTGTGAGCGTCAGTTAGTTGAGTGAGTAAACCAGTGATTGTCCGTTTGTGAAGTAAGTGGTGGTCATGCAGTTAGTCATCATAATGATGATAGCGATGATGAGCACTGGTCGACACCGGTCTAATTGAAAATTGTAGTTGTGGTGTTGATATATGAGCAAGCGAACTACTGACTAATCGACTGATTGTGTATTCTGTGTGATATAATTTTTGCACGTTGCAGCTATTGAGCGGACTACGTCTGGGTAATGAAGAGTTCTCTCGAGGTGCTACTTGTGTCCGTGTTGTCTTCATTCGGATCATGATCTGGATTGACGGTGTTGGCCGAGCTCACACCGACGCGGGTGTCAATCGTGTCTCAATGGAAGCTGTTCAAGCAATTGTGAATGTGCAGTTGCGTTTGTCTCGTGGATCACAACCAACTGAGACTGATCTGACGGAGACTCTGGTTCGTGGATGCACACTCCTGAATATCAGGAGTGGACCAAGTTTGAGAAACATCACAGCATATCGTAAGTCGTCAATTGTTGTTGCCCATTTTGCCAATGATATGTTGTGATATGATATGATGTGATGTGAGATGAGATAAGATGAGATGATGGTGAAGCGAGACAGTGACTGTGACGCTATTGAGATAGGAGAACAGTGACAGTATTGCTTATGAGTCGATTGTTCCCAATGTTGGATGTGCACATCCGTAGTGGAACCATCCATCAGAGAGATGAAAATACTTACTGCTGGATGAGGGGGTGTGAAACACTCCAGTTTTCTCTTACAGGTCACATGCATCGTGGTGATGCTGAATATGTCGAGTGTTTGCTGTTTACGATGTAAGCTGTAGCATTTCTGTAATGTGACCGTGTTGTGTAGCATTGTTTCGTGCAGGTTTTCTATATTGTGAAGAGTGAATCTGTATGCTAAGGAGAGATGAGTATGTATGGGTGTTTGTTATTGCATGTTAGTTTGTCGATTGAAGAATAACCCAGATAGGATTCTTCGAATTCATACTACTTCAATGACATTTGCTACTGCCTGAATTGTTGTTGTCAATTTCGCAATGCGTGTTAGTAGAATAACAATAATTAGATGGTGGAAATATGAACCATCGTAGTCCCGTGTGGAAGCTGACAGGAAGATATTTCTGACCGATGAATACAACTACATGTGTTTTCCGTTTAATTCAACAGGTCCACGAACAAGCACTGTGACGTCGACTGACGGTCTCGGACAAACAGAAACAAGTGTCTCGACAGAATCGAGGCAGCCGATCAGGACGACGTCGACAGAGACGATGACTGCAAGATCGACTGTGCTGATGACCAGCCCGTCATCAACTACTACTGGAGCTGCTTTCGGTAGGTTCACATTATGTTGCATAACATCATGTGCTATGCATAACTTTTCGTACGTACTCTCTCTCGAGATGTGTGTGTGTTAAATGTTAGTTTTATGCGTCAAGCTTATCCATCTTTATTCATTTGAGATCATTATCGTTTGGTTATTTGTTTCTCTCTGGCTGGTTGGTTCATTTGTTCACCGCTAGTGTATTTTAAACCGACAAAATAATTGTCGTTTGTTTGAGATTCGATTGTTTGATAATAATTATCATTGTTCGATATAGTTTTCTGTCATGTTAATTAGAATTTATAGCTTAATTAATATCCCCCAAATCTATTTTGGATCTCTGGTGAATAAACATCATTCATATTCAATCCATTCGATTATTAACCTCATGTATTTAAGCTAACATTAGTTTATGGTGAACATGTGAACGCGACTACATAAAAGTTCTTAGATGTATTATTAATAATGTCATGTGAATTTGTAACTTTTTATAAATGCATGCTCATGTAAATGATATATGTAGAAACGAACCAAGATATAACAATTCATCATGCAATACTTTTTCAGAGAAATTGCTATGTTTGAAGCTATCACGAGTCCACTTAATTGGCGAACGAGAACATGACTCGTTGACCAAAGACCAGTAAGCTATCTATTGTTGCGTCCCAGCCCCGCTAACTAGACAGAGACGTCCAAGCCTCGAATGGGGAATTATATCCTGCAAACAGCCAGAAATGAACAATCACAACAAACACATTTCAAAACGTATATATATACAATGAAAAATTGTCATTGAGGAGAGTTACCAAATAGCATACTAAAAGACGCAACGGATCAATGGCATTGAAGATATTTCTCAGTGGGAAATACGACATGAAGGTGACAAGAGTGCCTTTGGCGCGAAAACAAAGAAACTCAAAGTTTCTAAATAAATTACAGAATTGGGTGATTTTCTAAGTGAGTTCTGAGGATCTCACGTCCGCAACAGAAATATCTTTAGTTTTATTGAATAATAGATTTTACGTCTAATATATATATATATATATATTTTTTTTTTTTCATTACAGAAACCTCTAGTTCAACAACACTGACTACACAAAGATCTACTTCATCTGAATATAAAGAACTAACCACACAATCTAAAATAACTTTGCCTGCTTCAACAATTCCAGTAGTTCATAATCGAACTAATGATCAATTTACACGAATACACTCTACAACTACTTCAAAACCACAAATTGATTGTAAGTTGATACATCATAGAATAGGATAAGTAATATTATCATAATTACCTAAGAAATTAACTTTCATCAAGTATTCTTTAAATGAAACTTTTGTCATTGTTTATTCTAACTCATTTCAACTAGATTATTTAGAAATAGAGGAAATATGCGATATGGTTAGTAATTATATTTTAGATATATGTTTCATGTTATTTGTTCTTATCAACTGGATATACCTGTATTCGGTTTGTTCATTACTACAAGATTTGTACCTAGTAGCTTTCTCATCAAAAACGTTACATGCTATCCAGTTCACTAATGAGTTCATAAAACCGGTTACTTGTAAATGGGCTATGAATTTTGATTTCACCTGTAATGATTTAAATTATCTTGATTAAAATTCAATCCAAATATGAACAACATGATGATCTACACGATGTGAACGACGTGAACAATTTGATACAATTTTTTTATCTCTATTCTGAATAATGAAAACAATTAATTTTATTTCCAATTGATTGATCACTGGGTGTCGATCAATGTCATGTATGCCAGGTCCTTCTTACTGCAGATCGAATCCTATCGACCGAGTTGCAATATAACGATCAGCCTTGATGACTGTACATCACCCAGTGATCAATCAATTGGTAATACATCTCGGTCCTAAAGGAGGTCAGTCACGGCCCGGATAGATCAGTGGTAACTGTGTAGCTGGGTGACACGGAGCATCAGTTCCTTCCAGATTACAGGTACACCTTTCTGACGAGTGCCAAGTAGCACGAAACCTGAGTCCAAGGTTTCCTATTGACTACCGCCAACCACCATCTTAATTCCTTTTCATAACTCAAGATGCCTCAAAGATATTATGTATGCGTACATTTATATAGAGTAGTCTCAACATAATTTACGATATGAATCAATCATGAGTAACATTTAAGGTTCATAAGATATATATTTGTATATGTTCGTGATCAACGCTTCAAAAATATGAAGAAGGTCAATAAATACTTATCAAACAATACCGAAGCTTAATGAATAGCTTAGACATTTAACATCATTTGCATAATAAGTGGTGCATTTTGGAAATTACAAAGAACTATATCCCTCAATATTCCTAGTCTAGTCAATGAAAGCATCTCTAATGTGTCTACTGAAATAAACAAACAATTTTGTGAGATCCGGGAATTCCAGAGATATGTGAGATGCCTATATATAATGTAATTCAATTTGTGAACCTAATTGTTTTAGCTTACTACAACGAGTATATTTACATGTTAACCTTAATGGCATGTATTCATTCGAACTCATCAATGTACTACTTTGTAGAATTTTCTGAAAAAATGACTATGGAATCAATAAGGAATTAATTCTTATCTATTAATTGTAAAACTCATATTTTGTGGAAATTTGGTGAGACTAATTTATGCAAGGACCAATCAGATTTAGGAACTAACACACCCCCTTTTTTGAAGATCCGCTGTTGATATCCGGATTCTAAATTTTCCGGGTTCATCCTCCCCCACGAAACGGTGTTGGATCCTCATATTCCCAAGTTACAATTAATTTTAATTTATTTAAAACATATTTTTCGCGTTGAATAGAGAGTCGACTGGAAGTGACTAAGTGGTGAGTCTGAACGACGCTTGATATGAAGTAATCGAAGTTTGATTCTTCCGAAATATTGTGACCATATTTATTAGGAACCTCATTTGTAGATAATGGGTCATTAAGGTAATCAGCATCTATCAAAATTGTATTAAGTTTCTGATCATCATATGATGCATCTGAGATATTTTCTGGTAAAAGAGAATCACGATAATTAGATTCGTCAGAAACTTCAGTCGCTATATGATGAGACCCATTTAGAGCAGCTGCATTCAGTGTACTGCTCGATTTGTTTACTGATTCATGGGCGGTTACTGCTACAATTCTATGAACATTTAACAGGGTTTCTGTTTGTGAGCTGGATAAGTCACAGTCTGCACTTGCTGTTTCGGGGATAATGGAGTTTCAATCCATTTCCGAGCATGTTTCTGAAATGGAGAGTACTGAACCACTAGATGGATTATGAGTGACTGTTGTATCGTTTGAAATACGGTTTGTCGAGGATTCATGGAGGCTGCAATCATTTTCCAGCTCAGTGTGCAATTGAGAAATTAATCCATCCACTTCCGTCGCATCTCCAAAGCATGAGTGATTCAGCATCTGAGTGCGCAATTTGACTAAGAACGCCAATTGTCGCTTAAATGAGCAGCTGTAATCGATCGGAAGGGAAAGTCATTTTTTTTAATCAGCACCGGCAATAAAAATTACTGTGTGAATAATGACCATTGTCGTTCAAGGACACTGATGACAAATCTGGATGCTGATTGCTCGAAATAATTAGACTGAATTTCGTCCAATTACAGACAAACTTTGGATCGTTTTTTTTACCCCGTCACCAATTGTTATAGCCCAAAGCCGCCAATCAGAAGCAGAGAATTATCGATCGGACCAAGGACATGTAAAACTCCGGTTGACACTAAGCGACCGGCCATTATGATTCCCTGCTACCCATTTTTAAAAAATTGTGGGGTGTGAATGAGAAATTTAGGTATCGTTGATTGGTGGACTTGTTTTGCAAGTGTGTGCTCAAGTGATAATGAACAAACATTTTGTTACCTCTAATAATGTTGTTATTGGTCGTAAACTGTTAATCTCTGTAATCTGATTAGTTGAAATTGAAATCGCATCTAGAGCTGTGATTGGATGTCAGAATTTTCATTTTTTACATTAGAAATTTAATGATAATGAATAATTCTTTTTGTGTAATCTTAGTCTTGAAAAAAATTTAGACTTTTGAAGAAGAAGACACCAACTTAATTGCATTACCGTGCAATCCTACTGTTAGTGAATGTGTATTGGGATAAATTTTTGTTTTCCGGTCAAGCAAACCATGAATTGAA